GCTGGCTGTACCTTAAGCCTTTTATCCTCTACTTGTTTACAAACTCTTTAATAATTTGTTCCAGTATTTTTCTAGGAATCAAAGTTAGTCCAACCAGTCTATAATTCCCCACATCTCTCCCCTTTTTAAAGCTAGGTATTACGTTTGTCCTTCTCCTGTCCTTTGGGAGTTCACCTGTCTTCCATGAGTTCTCAAAGATAATCACTAATGGTTCTGAGATTGCTTCAGCTAGTTCCTTAAGTACCCTACTATGAATTTCATCAGGTCCTGCCAACCTGAATACATCTAACTTATCCAAATGTTCTTTAACCTGTTCTTACCCTATTTTCCTTCCCCCTTGTTGCTCATATTAATTGTGTTGAGTACCTGCTAACCTTTAACCTTTTTAGTGAAGACTGAAGCAAAATGGACATTAAACACTTCAGCCTTCCTGATGTCCTCAGTTATTAGGTCAACTTCTCCTCTAAGTAGTGGACCAACACTTTTCTTTGTCTTTCACTTGTTCCTAATGTATTTAAAGAACCTGTTTTTACTGCCTTTTACGTGCATTGCAAGGTGTAACTCATTTTGTGTCTTAGCCTTTCTGGTTTTGTCCCTACATGCTTGTGTTCTTCTTTTGTACACCTCCTAAGCAATTCATCCATGTTTCCACTTTTTCTATGATTCCTTTTTGATTTTCAGTTCATTAAAGACATACAAATACGTACATCAACAAAGGCGGTGGAAAGCTGCCAATGCTCTGAACCATCAGCTTGATCAAGGCACTAGCTAGAAAGTGCAAACACACCCTCCAACACATGTGTACACACACACACACGCACACACAAAACTGACAATGACATTTCACATTCTCCCTCATAGAAGCCTTCTCAAAATGTCACAAAAGTTCAAAAAGTTAATTACCAGCATTTTTGCTGTTGGCCAGTGGCACAATGTTCATTAAATGGAATTAGCGGCAGATCCAATTTAACAGATTTCTGCTCAAGAAATCCCACAACAAAATGACTAATTTGCTTAGTTTCAGAAGATGAAGTTCTCACAGGCCACGATTACAGAGCTTGTAAAAGTGCGGATACTCAGTGGGAAATGTAGAGACTACCTGCCACCAGGACTAACCCTTTTTTTATACACTCCTATTAAAATAAAAAATTAGAACCGGCCAACTCAAAATTCTCTCATCTTAAAAATTGTCAAGGTTTCTCCCCATTTTACTGCAACAATCTTGACACAAAGCACTGGTGATTATTTTTTTTTACAGCCCTCAGTGATCAAGGTTTTGTGCTGCTGTAAGTGCTGGCATAACTTCACTGAATTCATAGATTAAATGCTTTTGACAGAGTTAACAAAAACAGCAATTGAGACACCAGGTGAATGTCAGAGCCACCTAAACGGTTCTGATTCCAGTGTAAAAGTGTTTCTTTAGTGCATTTGCCCATCCCATTTATGCCCAGTGAAGCAAATTTTATAAAGAGAGAAGTCCAAGCCACAAAGGTCAGATCTAGATCCAAATTTCTCCGATACCCAGCTCTCTTCAAATACAGGGTTTACATTCAGACTTGTTAGAGAGATAGTGCCTCAAAGTTCTGACCCAGATCTGAAATGTCTTAACAGTCGGGGGGGGGGGGGGAGGGGCGAGTTTGGGTT